TAAATGTGACTCGTTGAAGATAAGCGATTGTCACTTACATGGGCATATCCACAGCTCAGGCAGCCCATCTTCTCCTCTTTGAGTTAGTTAAAAGCTATCATAGGGCAGTGAGGAGCATAGAAAGGGGATTTGGATTCCAGTCTTGGCTCTAAGAGAAATCAAAGGAAAGACTGTGCTAAAGTTTTCTCATCTGTAAATGAGTATTGATAGATCTATAATTTTCAAATTTTATAGATCAGAGAGACACTTTGTCAAAGGAAATCTTACATGGCGTCCCATCATACTACATAAAGAGAACTGTGAATAAAGCTAAAGCCCTCTCTTTGCTCCCTGTGAAAACAATTAACACTAGAAAGAATAGTGTGAGAACTATACACTTATATAAATTCTAATTTCTCTTTTAGATTTAAAATTTAGATTTTCTAGGATTTATCAAAGGTTATAGTGGTAGTTACTAGTGAATCAGTTTCTAAAAGAGATTCCTGATTCTAAATTCTAATGATCTGACTATCTATCCCATACCATATTGTTCTTCTGACAATGAGGCTGACATTCCTTTAATCAAAAAATTAAAGGAATTTTTTGTCTTCTCTTCCCTTATTTCTGTCTTCTCTTCCCTTATTTTGGAAGGCAGCTTAATATACTAGCAATTTTTTCTTTCCTAGTATATTATGTATGCAATTGCCAAAATATAGATCTCTTATCCCATACCTTTATGTATTACTTTATTATGTCTACTACTTTCTTTGCGGAGTCTTTAGAATTTTCTATCTACAGGGTCATGTCATTGTCAAGCAAATAGTTTTATTTTTCTTTCCAATTAGATGCCTTTAAAAATTGTTTGGGTCTGATTATACTGGATAAACCCTCAAGTACAATGTTGAAAATATATAAAAGCATCAAGAGCAGATGTTTTTGCCCTGTGTCCAATGTTACAGAGAAAACATTCAGTCTTTCACTATGTTAGCTGTCAGTTTCCTATAGATATACTTTACCAGGTTGAAGAAGTTGCCACTATTCATTGTTGACAGTTTTCATCATGAATTGAGATAATATTTTGTCAAATGCTAATTCTGAGTCTATTGAGGTAGACAAGTGACTTTTTGGTTCTTCCTTCTGTTAATATGGATGTTCAACCAACATCCATATTAATGTTAAATTTGGATGTTAAACCAACCTTGTATCCATAGGAAAAACACCTCTTGATCATTATAAATTATCTTTATAACTTGCTGAATTTGATTTGCTAATATTTTTAGGGAATTTTTGTACTTATGTTTTGTGTAGATAATTATCTATGCTTTGTTTTCTGTAATGTTTTTAATTGGCTGTGGTATCAAGGCACATAGAATGAGTTTGTAAGTTCATCCTCCTTTATTTTCTGGAAAAGATTATAAATAGATATTTTTTGTTGTTTAAATATTTTATAGAATTCACCAGTGAAGTCATCTGGATATTGGATTTTCTTTGTTTGGATTTTCTTTATTTCATTAAACTTCATTATCTTCCATTTTATGTTACAATTTTCTATTTATTCCACTTAGTTTTGGTAATTTGTATCTTTACAAAAATTTGTCCATTTCCTCTATGCTGTTTTTAACATAAAAAGTTTAATATGCTTTTATAATTTTTTATTTAATTTATAATAAATAGTAATTTTTCCTCCTTCATTCTTGATTTTGATTATTTGCCATTTTCTTTTTTTCCCCTTAGTTTAAGATATACTTTAAAATATTAAGACAGTTCTAACTCAAAGTGACTCTGAAAACTATGTAGCTGACTGAGGAGAAGATTTAACAAAGCATTTTTGAAGGCATGAGGGACAAACAGTTATTACTTTATTATCATATATGAGCCTCAAATTATTAAGCAACTTGTTATTAAATATAAGCAAAGTGGAACAATAATGATTGGAATTTAAACGATTTGACTATTAGGTACTTAACAGTTAATTGTGCAGGATTTTGATTTAATATTTACTAAGTCCATAAATGAATTTGTTTTATAAGTAGTCAATAGTAACTAGTTTTGATATGGTGTTATTGTCAAATAATTGTATAATAATGTTCATGCTAAATCAAGGTTAAGTGAATTTCATCCTTGTCTCAGATACACATTAGATGAGTCAGAAGGAAGTAGGTCATTACTTTCTCAACATAATTTAATAAATTATTAATAAATACATAAATGAAAGAATGCTATATTTCACATATAAATTATATTTGCTTGTGAAAATTTCAATGTATATGTGAGTAGTTCTCAAACTGAGATGTTATAGCTTCCCTGTCACTTAAAAATAAAAGGTAACAATTATTTTAATCTTTATGAAAAGTTTTAAAAATATACAATAGAAGCCAGAGTAATATAATTAAACCCATGAACCCATTACTCATTTTTAATAATATAAATATGTTTTTGTTGTGCTTGTTTTTTCTCTATTTTTATTTGGATATTTATTTTGTAATTGTCACAGTGATGTCTTGTGAAATTTAATTTTCAGGAAATCTATATATCCTACAGTGCACAGGGCAGTCCCACACAATAAAATTTGTCTCAGCTAAAATACTAAAAGCACACTTTTGAGAAACACTGTAAGTAATAACTTACAATAGTAATAATTTTTTGGTAATTTACTCAATTGGGACAATTACTAAAATCTATATTACAGTAGAATAAGTAATTTAAAACTAGGACAAAGGAATTTCTAATGGATAAATCAGGTCTAAATTCATTTCAATAAATTTTTTATATATTATCAAACAAATCTCCACGATAAATTTATTTAAAGGAGAACTCTTGCTTCCTGTGGAAAACAGTCTATCCTCACACTAGCTTAATAAAATATAACTGTGATCCTGAAAAAATGTAAGAAAAACTTTCCTCTTCATGTGGCCTAAGGACTTTACCTTATATACTGTGTAAAATAGAAAGTAGAGATTGAGTTTACATTGTCCAGGTGTTGAATAAGTTAAGTTATTCACATTAATTTGCTAAACTCTAATCTATAATGTGAATTAGTGATCTATTTTCTAAGTAGCTATGTATTGTCAAAGGTTTTCTTCTTCTTCTTCTAATACTCTTATAGAAATAGAGTTTAAGAGAATGGGCTATGGAACCAGAACACCTGGATTGAAAACTTAGTCTCACCACGTTCAGTGTGTGATTTTTGGAAAAGTTGAATCCCTCTCTCTTCTTCAAAGTTTCATATACATAATGGAGATAGTAATAATATCTATGTCATAGTTGCTATGAACCGTAAATGAGTTCATCTACACAAGATGCTTTAGAACATGAATACAACGTAAGCATTTATTGTTACTGTTGATAATTTCCAGTTTCTTTAGGAAAGTTAACCCAGTTTAACCAACTTTTTGAATTTCCTTTATATTTTATGCTGTATAAATAGCAAATAGAAATAACAGAAGCAGTATAATCTCCACAAAGTATAGTTGGTAATAAGAGTAATGATAATTTAACCAAAATTTATCCAACATTTTGTAAAACATCATTTAATACAACCACCCTATGAAGTAGGACTATTGATATTGTGTCTTTTATACGAAGTAACTGAATTGAAGAAAGATTAACTTGTGAAAATTCAGCCAAACCTTTTCTATCAAATAAGACGATGCCCTGTGACTAACAGCAATTTTTAAAGAATACGTGTTTTCTGAATCATTCCCCAAGATTACATTATACCTTCCATAAACACACTCAATGTTACAAAATATACTCACGTATTAATTTATGTTATCTGTTAATATATGCACTGGTACACAATGAAGAATTCCATTGTGTGAATGTTTACGTGTAAATATATGAACAATTTTTAAGCTTCATTTTAGAATGTTTTTGATTTAATTTTTAATGAATTTCAACTCAGAAATATTGTAGACTTGTTAAAATTGATCATGGGGTAAGATTTCGTGTGTTCAAGGAAGCATTCCAGATAGAGGTCTAAAAAAATGTGAATATTCAGTGATACTGCAGAAGAGTTTAACAACATATAAACCAATCAATAGAGAAGGTATGATGCAATAAACCTGACCTTTGGATTTTTATAATCCTGGGTTTATATCCTAACTCATTCTTCAAGCTTTGTGACTCTGGGAAAAGTGTTTCAACAATTTCAGAATTTATATTGAATGCATTAAAACATGTGAATTACATTATGCTTTATTTGCTTACTTAATTATTTCTAGTTGTCTTCAACAAAATACAGCTGTGAATAAATGATGAGTAGGCTGGGGACAAAACTTGGGATGGGATTTTGGCAGAGAGATGCCTTGTCAAACTGACATTCAATATCTTTTTGATATTGTAGAAAGAAGTTATTTTTAACAAACATTTGTTTCTTCTTTCCTTTCTTATCAAATGCAAGCAATTTAAGAATAGATCCTAGCTTTCCATAATCCATCTCTGACTTCTCCTTTCTTAAATCTATTTTTCTAATATTCATTTGTGAAAAGCCCTTTCTCCTTCATTCTCCTTGTTATTGTCCTTTTCAGGAGAAAGCTTCGGGGAAGAATCATTTTGAGAGAGTCATTTAAATATGCATATTATTCAGCCAATAAAATTTTCATTATAGGGACACAACATAGAAAACTATATTTTTTATCCGGTGAAAGAATATCATTATTGGTGAAGACTGGTTCTGTGAATTAACCTGGTATGATGGCTAAGTCATTCTACTAGAAGGGCCCTATACTTACAGTAAAATATCAGCTAAATAGTTGGCCTAACTTTGGTCATGAATTTCAGGGATTAAACCCCAGCAGGGTACACTGCTAGATCTCTGACAGCTAAACATTAATATCTCACTTATCCATTCTTTTATTATCTTATAATTGGAACCTTTAGACTTTCCATTAAGAGGAAGAATTATTTTTATTCTATATGAAAGCTGATTTAAAAAAAAAATTAAATACTGTTGTTTCTTGCAGAAGCAATAAATGACCAGATTTTGTAATTATCTTTTCTCTTTTTTATGTTTTCAATAGGTAACCCTTTATTAACCAGCAAAGTCAACATATTGATTAATGTCCTAGATGTCAATGAATTTCCTCCAGAAATATCTGTACCATATGAGACAGCTGTGTGTGAAAATGCCAAACCAGGACAGGTATCATAACAATATTGTTTATTAGGAGTATGTAAAGATGCACTATATACATGTGTTTTCAAGTTATAAGTCCATACATGAATACAAACACTTATGCTTATTTTTCTGGATCAGATGGCTTCATAAAAGAAACCACAGATATATTAACTCTTGTGAATTAATGGTAGATGCATGAATGTGGAAGTAATACCACAGAAGATAAAGTGTTGGTTGCCTCATGGAAGTTATTTGTATAACTAAAGATCTAGAATTGTGGATTCTGGTGTTTTTCCACTCTCTTAATGTGGAATTTCTAAAGAACTTGTATGTAAATTCTGTAAGCAAATCACTTCAGAATACATTTTCCCAGTGTATTCTTTGCTTTGCTCACATGTTTTCATAAGGGGTCCAACAAAGCTTTTAACCTAACATGAAAATGTAAAGCTTCCTTCTCTAATGACCTTGAGGAAAACATCTGAGTTATTAAAAATGGCCAAATTACATTTTCCTTATTAAGTCAATATTACTCTGGGGGGATGTTTTGGTGGAAAGATGTTATGAGGAAAGACCACATAGTTTATGAGAGGTACTGTCAAAGTCCTAGGTTTTATGTGAGGTGGTGGTGATTAGCCAGTTTTTTTTCCCCTACACTATTATGAATGAATTAATGAATAACATAAAGGGGATAGGCATGAGTATATAAGATTATGTCGTGAAACAAGAATACGCTGAACCTAATGCCGTGCACTTAATGTTCCACAGGGAAAATGTATTGGTATTCTTTGGTTTGTTGCATCATCTTTAAACAGCATAACTGATAAATTAAGTAAATTTGAGAAGTTTTAAATTTTACTTGTAATAAATCTTCATATTTGAAACAATACTTTTGTTTACAAATGTCATTTTTTAACCTTTAGTATGTTTTTTAATTTGCATTATTTACACTGCTTAGTAGAAACTTTGTCCCATAGCTCTAACCTGTGATGTGTACTAGCTATCTAGCTATTAAATTAAAATTAACATCAAATAAAATTAAAAATTAATATTCTCATTCATACTAGCCACATTTCAAGTGTTCAATAACCATAGGTGATGAGTGGATACCATTTCGCTGAGGGCAGAAATAGAAATATTTTCATTAGCATGGAAACTTCTAATGTATTGTGCTGCTCTAATCTCTCATGTGACAATTTGGGGAATCAATATTCTTACGCCATCATGTAGTGATATTTTCTCAAGAAATCTGCATCCTTAATTTTGAATGGCACAAAAATGCGCTTAAATGTTATCTTGAATGCATCCACAATTTACATATGATGAGCCCACTGCTTACTTCAGTTTTGGAAATAGAATGCTACATAAATATCTGGGCCCAAGACAAATAACCCGATTTGGTAATTTGGGCAGCTAGAAGAGATTTGCCAAAATTTCACAACTTAGATATTTTTCACTTTATAGATGCCTATGCAAAATAAATAAATAAGTCAATTCTTTATCTTTTATGCTATTGGCTTCAGATCAATCAGAATCTTATAATGCTCCAAATGAAAGCCTTAGGGAACAGAGCTTCCTTTAATGCCGTATGTCTGTCTAATAAATTAAAGCAGGCGTCCTCAAACTACAGCCTGGAGGCCACATGCAGCCCGCTGACGACATTTATCCAGCCTGCTGGGTATTTTTGCTGCCACTGCCTGTCCTGCTTAGCAGCCAAACTTGTCCGGGACCCACAGTGTGCAAGTGTGGAATGTGCACTGCACTCTCCAACGGCCCTCCAACGGTCTGAGGGACAGTGAACTGGCCCCTTGCTTAAAAAGTTTGAGGACCCCTGAATTAAAGAATCTGAAAGGTTGGGAATGGGAAGTTACTTAAGATCAAATTGATTTTCTTGTATCTGGACAAAGTTGTGAAAAATTTGTTGGGCTCTTGTAGGCTCTTATTCTAAAACACGTCTGTTGGGTTTTTTTGTGTCCTGTCGGGTCACTCTTAGGCACAAAACATAACCCTAAAATGTCCCTTTAGTTTTCAGGGAGTGTGTTATATGAATACTTCCTGCTTTTGACCCCAGCCATTCTTCCCTAACATAACTATGCACAGGAACTATCTATCTGTTTTGGCTTATGTGTGAATCTGTCTGTCTATCATCTGTCATCATCTGTCTATCATCTGTCATCATCTGTCTATCATCGGTCTATCATCTTGTCTATCATCTGTCTATCATCTGTCTATCATCTGTCTATCACTGCTATCATCTTCTATCATCTTTCTATTTCATCTGTCTATGCATCTGTCTATCATCTGTCTATCATCTGTCTATCATCTGTCTATCATCTGTCTATCATCTGTCTATCATCTGTCTATCATCTGTCTATCATCTGTCTATCATCTGTCTATTCATCTGTCATCATCCATCCATCCTCCATCCATCCATCCTCCATCCATCCATCCATCCATCCATCCATCCATCCATCCATCCATCTCCTCATCCATCCATCCATCCATCCTCTATCCATCCATCCATCCATCCAGTCCTATCCATCCATCCTCCATCATCCATCCATCTATCCTCTATCATCCATCCATCTATCCTCTATCATCCATCCATCTATCCTCTATCATCCATCCATCTATCCTCTATCATCCATCCATCTATCCTCTATCCTCTATCCTCTATCCATCTATCCATCATCTATCTATCCATCATCTATCTATCCATCATCTATCTATCTATCTATCATCTATCTATCATCTATCTATCATCTATCTATCATCTATCTATCTGAAAGAGCAGAGGAAGAAATATGATACTGTGTAAATCAGTAAAGATTTATATGAGAGTTTTTTTCCTTGGAGCAGTGACTTCCAAATGACAGGTCCAGATAAGTGTTAGTCTGTAACAAAGTTATTTTCATATATGTATCCTATTCTAAAGGACTTCATTCTAAAATCATCTTCTTGATATGTTTTGACATTAAACACCTTTAATTTAGTAAATGGTGTTCACTGATAGTATTTAGAATCAAAACAAAACAAAATTCAACAACTAAGTATTGGTACCTAAATAATATACAGGAATTTTATGGAGGAAATAGAATTATCTGAGGATATTGGTTTAAGTGAAGAAAAGTTGAAGTTTTACAGGGTCGAAGTGGTGATTCTTGACTAAATTGCCACCTTCCATGATCTAGCCTTTGGTGTTCAATAACAACAATCCTGCCCATGACAATTTTAAAGCATAAATAGACCCTGTTCAATTAATTCACACTAGAGGGGCAATTAATTTATTAAATTACAAATTACTAATACTGCACTGGATACTCAAAGTCCCAGTGATATCTGTATCTATCCATCCATCCGTGTATCAATTTTTGTGTGTGGGAAAGTAGATCACAATCTTAAGATTGGGTTTCAATTGAGTTGTACATATTTAATAGCATCAATGTAAGATCACATGATGTATGCTTTACGCATGGGGACCAGGATATAGTATTTGAAATCTAAAGTCTTTTCTGGCAAATTCATATTTATTCTAAGAGCATGCTTACCTCGCTAGCACACTGCTCTGTCCTCCTCCACACACACTTCCTAAAAAACTGTCTGAAGCCCTTCATTGCACATGTTAATAAATAAATGCTTCTGTGTGGTGAATTGAAAATTTCACAGTTTGGCTCTTAGAAGTTATTTTTATTCTCCAAAATTTTAAGGGCATCATATTGGAATACCAGGCTTTTAATTATAAGATATATAACCTATGGGAGCAAGTTAGAAAAAAAATTTGAAACAGGGATAATAGTGCTTATCTTTTAAAAATGCTTCAAAACCACAATTTGTATTCCTACACAATGGGGCAAACAAATATAACAAAAATAGATACACATCTTTTGTATCTTTTTCTCATGATTTTATTTATGAAAATAAACTCATTGTTACAAAACATAATAGCACTAAAATTTTGCTATTGCAAGGGCTTTTAGATGATCAGAGATTTTGTTTCTAGTAAGCATTCTCATATTTTGGCTAGAAAGCATTTATTTCATCTAATTTAAAATGCAAGCAAGTACATTTTAATTTCATTTTGCTTATTAGTGAGAATATTCAATGCTGGTAAGCTTTTGGTCATACAGATATTGATTTGGAATTAACCCCTGTCCTGTAATTGTAACTGTCATGATTGCCTGTAAATGTTAGAGATTTGTTTATAAATATTATATGTAAATAATCAGTTCACTGGTAATGATTCAGAAAGTGTCATTTCTGTTTACTTGCATGCTTCATTAAATAAACACTTATTAGCCTGGTGTGTAAAGTTCCCTTTGAAACTAATGACTGACTTCAACTTTAATCTCAACTTTGTTTCAGATAATTCAGATAGTCAGTGCTGCAGACCGAGATCTTTCACCTGCTGGGCAGCAATTCTCCTTTAGATTATCACCTGAGGCTGCCATCAAACCAAATTTTACAGTTCGTGACTTCAGAAGTAAGTATAACCACAGAAAGATTTACCTCTTATCACGTATCTTTGTAAACAGGCACAAAGGGAGGAATCAGTGCTTTTCACAGAAGCACTCAGTTTCATAAAACATGGATATCCTTATATGACAAATGAAATATTCTACAGCTAGCAGAAAATCAAATCTATGTATTAACAGAGTATCTATTAACACAGGTTACTTCCATTATAAATGTGGACAGTCTCTCAATGAATCAAGCAAATAAAAACTATCTGGAAAATTGAATGCTTTCCCTGTTTTAAATATATTATTTCCATCCCCCATGCGCATTACTTATATTATATATAAGTTCCCTATATACAAATAGGTAACTAGTAACTGTCCTCCTAAACAGCACAGGTTAGAAATGCAAGCATTGCAAATTAGAATGATGTAAGTTGGCATTCCCATTCCATACTACTGAAATGATAGACTCTTACTATATAAAATTATACAAAACAATGTTAAACTCATAGTATTTGTATTAAATATAATTATACATGCATAAACTTTAACACAATGCCTAAAATAAGTTACTGTCAAGATAATTTTAACACCTCTGCCATCATGTTTATACTATTAATACTACTACTATTACTGCTGTGACGATGATGACTACTACTACTAATAATATTATTACATCTGCTAATATTACAACCACTACAAAAATATAAAGGATTCTGAACGAGAAATATTAAGATTCAGTACCAATTTCTCTATTAGTTCTGTGACCTTGGGTATTCTCTCTCCTGTAAGTTTCCATATTCTTTAAAATAAAGATCACAAGATTTAAGTTTAATAATATTAGGTTAAAAAGTTACATTTTTAATATAATGCATATAGAACAAATAAATTGTGATGAAATTATAATAATGATGATTGAAGTTAAAGCATATTTTGAGAAAACTTAGCTGCAAATAATTAAGGAAAGAAAATCAGGATCCCCACATTTTATCACTGAAGGAAGTTGAATAGGGTTTGCCAGATACAATGGTATAATTTAAGAAATGGCCATATCTGAAACAGTTATCAAACCTTGAAGTTCTTCATAAGTAGGGTTATCACATATTTTATCATAAAAACTGAAACATTTTTGAGAATGGAAATGGGCAATATTAATAATTTTAAGTTAAAGCAACACACATCAAATAAAGCAGTCCAAGACGAACTAGTCTATATGGTCACCCTATCTGTAAGCCATAAGGAGATAACTTAAATCCAATGAATATAGTAGTCTTTGACAGGTTTAAGCAAGTATATAACATACTCAATTTGCATTTTGGGGAGATCAGTTTGGATGCAATATGGAGAAAACATTACAGGAAGATAAAACTTGTTCTAATGCCCTTGCGGTAACTTGTGAGAATGTTGGATTAAGGTAATAACTATGAGGATAGCAACAAGTGAATGGAAATAGAATTGATAGGGCTTAATGATAGATCACTTAGATTTCGTAAGTGAATGTAATGGAGAAGACAAAGACTTCCAGATCATAGGCTTGAGCCACTAGGCAGATGGTCACATCATTCACTAAATGTAAGCATTGACTATTTTCATCACGGTAACTTTGCTGGATGATCATTAATTATGATAATGTGAACAGATAAGCTTGCCTCATAGAGTGTTTTCTCACAAACTATGTACTTGCCACAAAATTTCATATGTCATTTCCTGTGCTCCCTGTTTCATTTTAAGTTATATTTGCAAGTGTAAGCTCTTTTCTTTTCTGTGTATAGAAATAATTTTAAGAGTAGAAATGAAGTTTAGTATGTCTTTTTCTTTCTACTATGGATAGCAAAATAAATTTGATATGGTCAGTTCTCAGTATATTATGCCTTTTGACATAAATTGAGTTCAAGAGAACCAAATGCCTACCTAGTGCAGACACATCAGACTTTCTATTAATTATTTTCACCAAGGTTATGAACTTTATTTCTTTTTCTCAGTCTCAAGTATTCAACCACCAATTACTGACAATTTCAACATTGCTTCAACTAGTCCTCATTTTTCCATTCTTAATCATATCACATAAAGTTTTCTCATCTTGGTGTTTTCTGTTGCAGTGAGTATAGAGAAGTTGCCTAAATTTCAGTTGTTGAATTTTAAAGTCTACAAATAGAAAAATGGAATATGCTTGAAAGAATAACATGTTTGATAGATTTTTATTATAATATACTTTACTAAAATTATTTTACCTGATTCTCAGTTATGTATTATACATGGCTATCATAAACTACATATTATTTTACTGCTAAAAATAGTAAAGTACTTCTAGGAGTTACTTCCAGTGACACACATAAAAAGAAATAGCACTATAAATTTCACTGTAACAAAATAGTGAATAAAATAAAATGTATGCTCTTTGTATAGAAATACATCTCTTCAAAGAGTACAAAAATTAGCAGGGCATGGTGGCGTGGGCCTGAAGTCGCAGCTACTCTGGATGCTGAGGCAGGAAGATAGCTTGAACCCAGGAGTTTGAGGTGGCAGTGAGCTGTGATGATGCCACTGCACTCCAGCCTGGGTGACAGAGCAAGTTCCTGTCTAAATCACCCTCACTTTTAATAGAAATAGTAAGTGCATTTATATAAAAATAGAAATTTGTATTGTGTTAGATTGTAAGTAAATATTATTGATTTAATCAGAATTACAATGAATTATGTTCATAATTATATTAAAGTGGTGACTTATTATAATTCATAGACTTCAAAATTTTTAATGAATCTTTTTGTTTTTAATACATTTTTCTATGTGTCTTACATTAGCTAATGTGCAGAAGTGAAAGTATTTATATTCACACAAACATCTATATATCATATATAAAGATGTATACATATACAATATATCAACAGAAAAAAGTTTTAATCTGAAATAGTCAATTGATTTTTAATATATTTTAAAGAATAGGTTCTTACGTAAGACATTTTACAGATTCATACTTTGCAATCTTTGCTCTTCTTTTATGTACAGGTACTTCTACAAAAGTATTTTTTGCAATGAGATTTTGATGTCAGAAAAAAAATGAGTCAATATAGCACACTTAACTATCTTATAAATCATTCTATAATCTTTCTGAATAGAAAATTTAATTCTTACACCAGAAAAAAATTAATGTTTCTTCTTTCTCTGATGATATTTGATTATATTTTGGCAGCTTTCATAATTATAAAAGAAAAAAATTAAAATAAGGATGCACTTTTCTGATACAAGAAGAGCTGTCTACTATTTAACAGATGCCAACTTTGGGATTTGAAGTGAAGCTCATAGTAACCATGTTATCATAAATGTCATATTTTGTAGACAACACAGCTGGAATTGAAACCAGAAGAAATGGATACAGCCGCAGGCAGCAAGAGTTGTATTTCCTCCCTGTTGTAATAGAAGACAGCAGTTACCCTGTGCAGAGCAGCACAAACACAATGACTATACGAGTTTGTAGATGTGACTCTGACGGCACCATCCTGTCTTGTAATGTGGAAGCGATTTTTCTGCCTGTAGGACTCAGCACTGGGGCTTTGATTGCAATCCTACTATGCATTATTATACTTTTAGGTTGGTTTCAATATTAATCACATCCTCTCTCTCTCTCTTTCCTCCCCTGGTCTAGATATGTATTCAATTTATCATGTAAGTCAGTTTTTCTTCATTAACATGTCACATCTGGATAGATCATATATCTGTGTTAAATTAAATATTTATCAAAGTTATTTATATATTTCATACCTCATGGGTATATATTATTGGGAGTAAATGATATCACCAAAAATAAAAAAATATGTTCAAGTCTTATGGGATTTTTAAGTAATAACATTTTGTGACCCTTGGGACAATAAAATTCTCTATAATAAATATCCATTTACAACAGCAGCTTCTCAATTCATTTTACCACTTAGCAATTCTGCTGTCTAATAGCAGATCATATAACCTTTTAAAATTTTTGCTAGATGAATAATAGCTCTCAGGTTCCAGTTTAGTAAAGAGAGGAAGAAAAGAGAAAGGGCAGAAAGAACTAGAATATAACAGAATCCCCAAATTCACATTTCTTTCCTGTTTAAACTGCTAGCTAGAAGTAACTCTTCTTCTATTTCTTTGCATCTCTCCTCACATCAAAATTCTAACCATTCCCACTAGAACAGCACAGAGTATAGTGAAATATCTAGAAACACTGCAAAGGAAAAATATTGTAGTAAATGTATCTGTAACGTCTCTGTGGGAGTGAATATAAACCTACTTTAGGGGTTTTCCCTCTTCCATCAACTCTGTTTAGCTTCTCCATTCCACTTACTAATTCACAAAGTAGAGATTTATTTTTCCAGTTATTCCTTCAAGTTCTTATTGTAACAGATATACAGTGGAGCTATGTGGAATCAGTTTATATATGCATATTTGTTATTTAAACAAAGATAATCTGACAAATATGGACACCTGACTTTTATCTCCAGGATAGAAAACAAAATTTAAAAAATTACTAGGATGTAAAACATGGGGAGTAAGGCATTACATAATACTAAGTGGGAACACTCCTTGAATGTGGCACTCACACTGGCTTGAAGAGTAAAGTTATAGTCCACTTTGCATGGCATAGGCATTAATTCCATATGAGTAACTTTGGTGTACAGAGCTAAGTATTTTTAATATCCTTATAATTTGTAACAAATTATTCTTTGCAATTTATCCTAAATTATCCCTAGCATCTGTTTGTGCTAATAATATAAACCTTAAAAGGGCAAATTCAAAAATAACATTTTCTTATCTGAAATTTAGCATGATAAATCAGGTGTTTACCTTTAAATCAAGTGTTTCTCTCCCATACGCTCTATTCTCTTGTAGATAGCTGAGTTTCAGGGTATTTCTACATTGTGAAAGTTGTCACGATCAAAATGGAATCATGAGTGTCATGAATGTCAGGAAAACCTTGAAAAATAGAGCCAGGGAAGGCCATGGAAAGAGTTCTTGTGCTTGGATGCCTGGTAACAAAAAAAGACTGCAAAAAAATCACAGTCTTGCACAAAGGCAGTAACAACCTTACACAGAATAACATCTGCAAAGACATTTGCCCAGCAGCTCTCTGTCCAACCCCAGACTGGCATCACCCTTGTTATTGATCTTTGTAGACAAGGATAATTATTTCAAAACGATTATGCAATCCTCCTCATTTTTTTCCCTTTATAAACTTTTGTCTTCCTTTACCTCCTTGAATATGCACACAGTCTACTATGGCATGCATGTCCCTGTTGCCGTGCTCTATTCCAAAACAAATATTTCTTTTAGAAAGACTTTTTCTGTTTATGTAGGTTGACAATATCAACCTAGCATGACTTCGCATGTTCTGGGTGTTTCCCTTTAGCTTCTTGAGCCTCATACAATGCAGAAAGTAATCTGCTCAGGTCCTCAATATCATCACTGCCACCTGCTGCTCATTCATCCGGATACTCCTGAGTTCCACAGTGCACGAGCACTGTTCTAGGCATCGTGAATTTGCTGGTGTACAGCAGTGGATATTGACGTGCTTTGTCCTACCACAGAGTCTGCTTAAAAATCTATCTAATCTGAATCCCATTCTACTAAGGGAGGTATCACAAGAATGAAAACACAAGCACCACATGTACTCACCAGCAAATTGGTATTAACTGATTAGCACTTATGTACACATGTAGTAGTAACATTCACTAGGGAGTGGGCAGGTTGGGGGGGGGGAGAAGGGGATGGGTAAATTCACACCTAAAGGGTATGTTATGCACGGTTTGGGAGGGGCATGCTTATAGCTCTGACTTGGGTGGTACGAATGTAATAGATGTAGCCCAAATGTTTGTACCCCTATAAAAATTGAAATAAAAAAAAAAACTCTATTCTTTGACATCCTCGACCAATCTCAGATTCTTGTAGCTCTTCTAGCTTGTTCTCAGCCATACCCATAATCTTCCTGAGGTGAAGGGAAACACAGGAAATTTGTGGTGCTCAGGTCACTCTTAGGTGGCACTCGGGCACATCTAACCAGTCGCTTTCTCAGCCATGACTCTAAAGCCATTTTATACACAAGGCTTCTCCATGAAGCCTGCAGTCTCTCCCATGCTCCCTGTGTCTCTTTAGTTCTGAGAGTCCCTAAACCCTGAGAGGAGCTCAGGGTGCTCAACATTTCTCCAAGGGCCACCATACAGAAGGTTTGCCTAGGTCTTCTCCCTCTTGCCATCCTCGTTAGTATAGTGGCGAGTATCCCTACCTGTCACCCTGCTCTTCACCTTCCTCCCAATTACTCCAACTCTAATTTTGGAGGAAGAGGGAATAAGTGATCTTCAAAATCATCCATTCTTCTACACTTTCTAGTTCTATGACACGAGTCTTCCACAGTCTGCTGTGGTAAATCAAACCCACTCTGTTGTTTATCTTAGTGCCACTGCTGTGGAGGAGACGGGTGTTATGACAAGCAAAGCTGAGCACTGACTCATTTGTATCTGTGCCCATTCAGCCCTAGAAGAAGTAAGCACTGTTGATTTAAAGGAAAGCTTTAAGTAAACTAGGAATGAAGAGAGATTCCAAAATGAAAGTATATAAATCCTAATGACTATTTCAAATATCTTGTTTCATGAAGGTAACCTGAATACGAGGCATTTGATTTGGAAAATGTCTCAATATGGCAGGACACAGATTTGAAATAATTAGAGGTTATAGTTGGTAAGATTTATAAAACCAAATTAAAAATATAGCTTATGAAAATATAAACTATATTTTATTTCCTCCTTCCTTCCCTTCCTTCCTTTTTCTTCCTCTTTCTTATTTATTGCTTTTAAAAATGATTGCAATTGTGAAGATTTGGGTTTATTAGAAACACAATTTTTAAACTTACAATTGGAAATGTTACAATTGGGAAATTAGCTATGAATGATTATCTATGTGTTACTTATAGATGATAATATAAGTTTTAATGATAATTTTGTTATATCAATTCTTATAGCTCTCTTTATGGTTAGGACAACTATTGTTTCTTTTATCTCTTATTTTGCAAAATACATTTTTACCTGAAACTAAAATATTTAATATTGTTCGACAATTGTTTGACTTTGTGAATAACTTTGGTATAGCTTCTTGTTAGTTACAATTTCAAAATGAAGTTGATTTTAGACAATGAAAAAAAATGTAAACATATGGACCTACTGATTACAGTATGTTTACTTTAAAAATAATAGGTGACCATTAAATTCAGCCAGCCTGATCCATTTTATTTTTTATTGAGAGATAAAAGCCAAATATCTGCTTTCTATTCTGAAATTGTAATTTTTGTCCTGTTTCAGCCATAGTTGTGCTGTATGTGGCCCTGCGAAGGCAGAAGAAGAAGGACACCCTGATGACCTCTAAGGAAGACATCAGAGACAACGTCATCCACTATGACGACGAAGGAGGTGGGGAGGAGGACACCCAGGCCTTCGACATCGGGGCTCTGAGAAACCCAAAAGTGATTGAAGAGAACAAAATTCGCAGGGATATAAAACCAGACTCTCTCTGTTTACCTCGTCAGAGGCCCCCAGTGGAAGATAACACAGACATAAGGGATTTCATTAATCAAAGGTTACAGGAAAATGATGTGGACCCAACCGCCCCACCGTATGATTCACTGGCCACATATGCCTATGAGGGAAATGGATCCGTGGCAGAGTCCCTCAGCTCTATAGACTCTGTCACCACAGAAGGCGACCAGGACTACGACTATCTGACAGACTGGGGACCCCGCTTTAAAGTCCTGGCAGACATGTTTGGCGAAGAAGAGAGTTATAATCCTGATAAAGTCACTTAGGGGAGCCGTGAAGGCTAAAACACAACCAAGAGGAGAAATTTTTAAAAAAGAAAAACGAAATACAAATAGAACCAAGAGGAGAAATTAAAAAAAAAAAAAGAAATACAAATAGAAATCACACATGCACACGCACACACAAAGGCCCAGGCTTTATAGAACAAGATTTCTTTGATTATCTGGTTTCTGGCAAGTTGCTATATTTATCATATTGTCAGTTTTGTTTTTTCTGCCAACACAAGATAAATCCTGTAATATGTACTTGCTTTGTTGTTTTGTTTTCAGAATCACACTGAGACAAGCTCAGGCCTATTAAATACAATTTACTGACATGACAACCTAGAACGAAGATAGCTATGTGGCATCACGGTGGAAGAGTGTTAGATTTTTCTTAATTCCACTAAAGTGCCTATTGAAACTCTTATCATTTAAAGTGGTGTACAGTACACTCTGCTGTGATGGCATTGCAGGATTCAGATAAAGAGGACATAAAACAAAGACACTGTCTTTATGTCAAGGAGCAATAGCAACATGCTGACTCTCCTCATTCCTTTTGAGAAAAAAAGAAGAATACTTTCTGAACTCCATCTTCTTATAATTCAAAGGTTTCTTTTTTTCTTTTTAAAACTGTATGCCAAAACACATTTGTTTTTCCTACCCTTTCAGAAAATTGAAATAAAAATGTCACTATCAAATATGTAAGTCCCAAATTCTAAAAGCAATGTTTGATCTTAACATTACTTCATATTAAAGGTGTTCATTAAAATGTTACTTTTTTTCCAAAAAATAAAATAAAAAAGAATATAGAAAAAAAATCCCTCTTTATAAAGAGGCCTCAGGACTCAAATTCCATATTAAAATAAATATTGGTTTTATTTAATATTGTATTGGTGTGTGGAAAATTGGTTTTAAAAGTCAGCAGATCATTTAAACTTTTAGTCATAGATAAAATTTCAGATTGTGATTTGATGGAAATTTCTGGGGAAAATAAAGTTTATTAATTTAAACATGGGAAAAGAAATTCATTACACAGCTTCTCAGTTTCTTACAATCTAGTGATTCTTAAATAAGCAATGAAAATAAGCTACATATCAAAATACAGGATGGATTTGTAACACATCTAAAAATATTAAGTCAGGGACTTCAGAAAATTCAAACCAGCGACTAAATTGTAAAATGAACACAAATTCAAATTCAGGGAGAGGATTAATTTGGTTACTAACATGGATTTCAACTTTGTGAACACATTATTTTGGACCTCAGAGTTATCTCTTTGTTCTATAATACCTACTATAATCCTAATATACATGATCCCTTACAATTCTCTGTAAAGAACTTTTTAATTTGATGCATATTTCTAAGACATATGAGATTTTATAAGCATGTTAGTAAATTATACTCATGCACATTACTTTCCAGTGGATCGTACACTATCTAGAAATGCACATAAAATGGATGTGAATGAATTATAAGCTAATATATTTTCAATAGTGTAACTATATAAGTGACTACTTAAATATTGACACTATTTATAAGAAAAAAATCAAAGTTGTTTATAGGTCCATCCTGAAGATGTGGTCAATATCTAGCTATATTTATAAAATATTTATGAATCTATTTAACATATGCAAGGTTATGAAGCAAAAAATTCACACATGGGAAAAACAGGTAGAAATATGGATAACATAGGAAAATTATATTCAGACCTATTCATTTATAAATGCATACTTTAAAATTATCTGACTACTAATTATGCTATGGCTATGGGACAATTTGAATCTGCATTTCCCATCCCTTTTTTATGTCTTCCAGTTGCATACTCTCCTTTTCTTTCTACCAGGAATGGCTACCGTGCCAGTTTTCCTCCATTCACAATTCTATCTTTCCCTTTGATCCCTACGAACTGCATTATAATATTCATGTAGTGTAATGGTTTGCAGTATAATATGTCTTGGGAAATATTTATGTAATTACTTTAAAAAAAAAAAAAAACCCGATGGTGTCAGAAACAGACTGAAGAGAAAAATAAGGGCAACTTTTGGGTTTGCATTAGCAACATGATTTTCTGTGGAATGATGCATGGTGCCTGAAGAAGGTTAATATGCAAGACTCTTTCGGGTTGACAAAGCGATTCTTGTCAGGAATGATTACATTTTACATTTTGCTAAGAATCTAACTGCCTCTGCATGCAGTCATATAGAAGAAACAACGGTGGCATGAAGAAAACTTGGGAGGGACAGGTCATTTCAATCTACATGACTAAGATGCTAAGCAAAAATATGAAATTGTAGGCATTATTTTCACTAAAATAAAAAGTCCTTTTCAGTACATCAAGCCTTTATTTTTTGCAATACCACTGCATTAGTTTTCTAGTGCTGCCGAAACAAAATATAATTGAGCGACTTAAACAGAAACTTATTTCTTAACTTTCTGGAGGCTTAAAGTACAACATCAAGGTGTCCACACAGAGTTGGTTTCTATGAGGGCCGTTTTTCTTGGCGTGTAGATGACTATGTTCACTTGGTCTTCACATGGTATTCCTTCTGTGTTTTTTTGTGTCCTAATTTCTCTTCTTATAAGGACACCAGTCATAGTGAATTAGGGCTCACCCATATGGCCTCTTTTTACTTAATTACATCTTTGAAGGCTCCAACTCCAAATATAGTCACATTCTAAGGTACTGGATATTAGGACTTCAACATATGTGGGGATGCAGTTTGGCCCATAACCACCACCAAAATGTTAACACCATTCATTTTTTTTTTTTTTTTTCCAAAATAAGAGTTTGATTTACGACAAAAAATAAATGTTTGGAAAAAAAGTGAATAGAAATCATTTCAGGTACAATGGGAAACGAGAGGAGTGATATAGTGAAAAGAGATCTTTTGGTGCTCATAAATTAAAAGTATGACGGGATAGACTTTATGCTATGACAAGCACTATGCCTAATATTTCAATACTTGTAATATCTTGGGATAATTTTTTGATTTATAATAACGCAGTCACTGGCCTTCATTCAAGCATTAAGCAATATAAAAAATGTTCAGAATTTATATGGGAACTTTGGCTATTAACAATTAAACCAAAATTTTGTTATTGCCTTGCATGTTTACCTTTACAGAAGTATATATGTTCATATGATATAACATATGAGTTAGTCTTATATTTTAAAAAATGCTACCTTTAATTGTATTAATGAAGTATTAGATCAACACATGAGTGACCCAGTGTGATATAAGCAATATAAAATTGCCTTTGTAGTAAATTCTATCTCTTACTAGAAATACAGCACAAGCTCCTTAGCCTCCCAGTGTTCTATTTGCTTTGGTAAAACTAATTTGTAGCACTTAGTGTTGGATAAGTTTCCTTTGAAATTTCTTGACTTTTATATTCCAGTTATAATCCCATGAAGTTAAATGATTTACATGTATTGATTACATAAAACTATGAGAATCACAGAGATCTTTAAAATATAATATAAATAATAGAAATCTTCGAGACATGGATTGATTGAATATACATTAAAACTCACCATTTCTACCACATCTGGAGAGCCAGGCAACTATTTCTTAAGTACCAATGTCAAAATTCATCAACAAGATCAAATGATAGGGGAGTGCATAGGAAGACAGAGGAAAAAAGCATCAATGTAGCTGGAGCCCAGGTCTTGAGCCAAAGAGGAAAAACAAAACATTGAAAGAAAAGTTTAGAAGTGATGTGCTATTCCCTACGGAAATTCTTGGAAAGTTTCAGTAACTGTTTTATTAAAAATAGGAATTCCTAAAAACGTGTTAATATGCAGGCATTATTTGAAGTGGTCCCTAAACTATGACTAAATATGAAGAAAGAATTGATAAAATGTCAGTAAACAGTCTCAGTTTGCTTCCTAAGAAATGAGGTACATATGTATGTGTGCGTGTGTGTGTGTGTGTGTGAAGGTAGTAATTTTGTAAATCACTCCTTGATTTTTTGCCTTCTCACCCTCATGTGTAGTTTGTCTATGTACACAATTCTATTTGGCACTATTTTCTTCTTCTATATTTTGAAATGGGTTTTCTATCATACATGAGCATCTGACTTCCAACCAAGGTGATGAGACAGAAGGATGACCATGTCACTCTTTTCATTATATGTGATGTATTTTCTTTGCATGATAATATTCAGAATTTCTTATCCCCAGTGTTAAGATATTTCAGACTAATGAGTCAACATGAGTCTTGTCATTCTCGGGACTAGACATGTGGGGTCCCTTTCCAATATGGAGCCTCAGAACCTTCAGTTCTGGGAGGTTTCCTTGTAGTCATCCTTTCATGGTTTCCCATCGTATGTTTTTCTGTTTTCTCTTTGTGTGATTTTTAATAACTGTTTTTTGAGTTTTTTATGAATTCAATCTCTATCCAGGATAAAGGACTTTTTTCTTTTTTAATTTCAGGAGTATTGTTATTCTGCTCTCCTTTCTGTTACTCTACTCCTATATTTAGACCAGTCTCTTCTTGACTCTTTAATGATGCTAATTTTAGCTGTTTTTTTAAATTTATAATGCTTTCTTTCTCTGAATTATGTGCTTCAAACACAGTATGGGGAAAAGGGAACTATAGATTTCCATGTTAATTTATTCTATTTCATCCTCATGTCCCATTTCCATTTGCTGCCCTATGCGATATGTCCAAAATCCTGGCATATTCCAGTATTGAAATGAGAAGACAAGTTCTCTACAGAGCTGCAACACTGATTCTCTAGTCCACAAATTTTCTGCCCAGCTTTATTCATCACTGTTCCATTAGCCCTCCAATCATTTACCCAAAATATTTGTCTGCTAATGAACATTATGCCATTCTCTTTGTTGTGGGGATATATGCACACACACAAATACATATAAATGTACACATGAATATAGAATATCATAGATTGTATAATATAGAATATAAAAATATTTTATAAATATATATTTCCTTATCTTTAAGTTATATTGGAATTGTAAAGTTTGTCTTACAATGGAAAGGCCATACAGATACAAATGCCATCAGTCATAATGCCAAAAATGCTGGAAAAGAAACCTGACATTTTGTTTTATATCCACTGCTATGAAACAATGAGATTTATTCCAGTGTCTGTGTATATACACGCACATGCACACGTATGCACATTTAGATGTTTTTAAGTCTAATTTGCATTGTGGACTGCCACTTAATTCCTCTACTCAAATTCTTTACATTTCTGAGTGCTATGGATTTTCACAACAATAAGTCTAACTTGCTAACTTTTCCAAAATTTCTTAAACTTTATTAGGAGTTTAATCATATGCTGTTTTAATTGTCCCCCTTTAAAATTAAAAAAATTGAACATAAGAATACCCATATAACTTGTGCAAAACCAAGAAAGAATACACTTACAGAGGTTAAATCCCCTTAATTACAAATACGTAAATAAATTTATTCTCAACTTTCATTCTGGGGCTCTTTTCATTCTTTTTCTAACTTCTACATTATTATTTGGTACATTTAATAACAAGCAAAATTAACAAGAACCTCTGGGAATTCTGGGCTATACTACAAAATGTTATTGTACTTTCTTATAAAGAAGAAATAACCCAATCTGCTCTGATGTCAATATCTTGCTCACAAACCAAGACTGAAAGACCTGATAATTTTCCATGGTACAGGTAAAATTATTATACAATTGAAAATATTAATCTTTATACTACCAATAATCATTGTGGTTGAAACTATTACTTTTTACTTTCTTTTAAACATTTACGTTAATCAACTAAATACTACTCTGGCCTGAACTTTCTTGAAGTTTTTAATCCAATTATATCTAATTTCCTTTCTTTTTGGTTTCCCATTGATGCAGCTGTACAACTATCATCCCTTAAATTTCCAATTTCTGAATTCAATTTACTTATCTGTCTTTCCCCATTCATCCTCCAATGAATATGGTGTTTACCATGATTGAAAATTCCAGTGTATTGTCACTGAAAATTATATTAGACAATCGTCAGTTCTCCCTTTTTCCTCTTCTATTATCTCAACATTTTTAAGAAAGTGATAATAATGCAGAAAGCTACTAATCAACGAGCATATATATGCCAAAAATTATGCTACAGGCATTTAATGCTTACAGTAACTTGATGAGACATATTATGGTTACTCTTGTTTTACTAATGAGCAAATTAGGTTTAGACATGTGAAATAACATGTCTGTTTAGACATAGTTAGCAAGTGGCAGAGTTAGGACACTAAGAATTATCCCATGCACATCCCAGCCCTCTATGCATAAGAAACAGTACACTGCCTCTCTCACCTCACTTCCTTATAAGTAACTGTTTAACAACCTGAAATCTGTCTCTTTTGAAGTTGGTTACTTCATAACTGAAAGACTCCAGAAATCCCTTCTTTCATCTTGCTGATATTTCTATAGAGTTAAGCATATTTTCATACCTTGTCTTCAAACTTATGATTCCACCTCTTGGTTCATTCATTTTTTTTTTCTTTCCCCTTTTAAGGCTTCATATGCCTCTTAAACAGCCTACATAAATAATGCCAGAGTCCTTTCATCCATTCTCTTTTTTTATATCATTGACATTTGGAGATCTCATTATAATAGCAATTTACATCTCTGCATAAATAACATTCAAAGAATCCTTAAATTTATATTTATGTATTTTCCCTTTCAGAAAGATAACAGAAGTTTTATTTGCACACCTTCTGAACACCATCTGGTCGATCCAATCCATTGGCTTCAAATTCATTAGATCCAAGTATTCATCTTCCTTTTTCTTAGTTTGGTATTTTGTTATTACTTCAGCTCTAAACCATCCTCCTGAGCTTGCTTTTCTCTCTACTCTCCTTCCCTCCTCTTCTGTGCCCTCTCTTCCTCCTTTCTCCTCCCCTCTTCATTTCCTTGTTATATCAATTCTATTTCTGCTGGGATATTGATGATCTTTATTCCCAGCACTGCAGTCAATTCTCTCACTGCATTGCTATTCTACTATTAAAATAATAGTTTAAAATCTATCAGTTGGCATTTATATAATTTTTCCTTCTCATGATTAGACTGAAGGCAGAAGTTTTTGGGAAGAAGACCACAGAGGTAAAGTACCACTCTTGTCACATCATAATCAAAGAGGCATGTTGTCCAAATGACTTATCACTATTGATGTTAACCTTGATCATCTGGTAGTTTGTCAGTATTCTTCATTGGAAATTAATCATTTTTCCTCAACTCTTTACTCCTTGGAAGAAAGTCACTCTGCACAGCCCACACTTTAGTACAAAGTTATGCCTCATCTCTTCAGGGCAGTGTACACAACATGTTTGAACTACACTTACATGGGAGATGTGTCCATTCTTCATCTGTTTATTGAATCATTTCTTTACATGAGCATGGACCCACAAATATTTATTGGATACTTTGGTTTGTAACTCAAAACTACTTTATTTATAAAGCTGTTTCAGTTGGCTCCTGTACCCCTTTATATATTCACATCACTGCATTGTTTTTTGTTTTGTTCAGTTAGTATTGAGCACTGCCTATCTGCTACTGCAAACTCCAGGCTTATCTTGCATATTTCCTGTCCTAGTCCTAGAATCAGCCATTTCTTTAAAAAAGTCTTGTTTCCTTTTGTTGAAAAATTATATAACAAGCTAAGTATGCTTCTTGCTATTGAGATGTTTGTGTCTCTAGGTCCTCTCAGATGATAGAACAAGGAAATATATATATTTACCAACCACATATCTACAACCTATATCTAGGTTGCAGACACCATCT